ATCAGGGACTCTGCTCTCTCCTGGTTCTCCTCTTACCTATCCCAATATCCCAACGCTCCTTCAGCGTTACCTATAACGCTGCCACCTCCCCCTCGCTCCCCCTCTCTGTTGGGGTCCCCCAAGGCTCTGTCCTCGGACTCCTTCTCTTCTCCATCTACACCTCCTCCCTTGGCAAACTTATACACTCCCACGGCTTCAACTATCACCTCTACGCCGATGACACACATATTTACCTCTCCACCCCTCACCTCACCCCCTCAGTCTCCGCCCGCATCACCCACCTTCTAAATGACATATCAGACTGGATGTCGCTCCATTTCCTCAAGTTAAACCTTTCCAAAACCGAGCTCCTAGTTTTCCCCCCAGCCCGTGCCCCCTCCCCATCCTCTCCATCATGACTAACAACACCACCATCAATCCCACCCCACAAGCCAAAGTCCTAGGTGTCACCCTGGACTCAAACCTTTCCTTCCAACCTCATGTCCAATCACTAGCAAATTCATGCAGGCTCCACCTCCGCAACATCTCCAAGATACGTACTTTCCTAACCCCAGACACCACTAAACAACTCGTACACTCCCTTATTATCTCACGCCTAGACTACTGCAACTCCCTTCTCACCGGCCTACCCCAACGCAGGCTATCCCCGCTTCAGTCTATCTTGAACTCAGCGGCTAGACTCATCCACCTCACCAACCGCTCCACTTCTGCCACCGCCCTCTGCCTATCCCTTCACTGGCTCCCGATTGCCCAACGCATTATATTCAAATTACTAACTCAGACATACAAAGCCACTCATAAAGCTGCCCCAAACTACCTCACTGACCTGATACCCAAATACCACCCTACCGGCACCCTTCGCTCCTCACAAGACCTCCTACTTTCTAGCTCCCTGGTCTCCTCCCACGCCCGACTGCAGGACTTCTCCAGGACTTCCCCCATCCATCAGACTGTCACCTACCCTCCTCACCTTCAGGCGTTCCCTGAAAACCCACCTCTTCAGGGAAGCCTACCCCACCCTCACCTAACAGCTGTTCTCCTCCACTCCTCCTACCACTCCATCCCCCACAGCCACTTCCTCCTGTACCTCTATCCCCTCCCTCCTAGATTGTAAGCTCGAAAGAGCAGGGCCCTCGAACCCCTCGTGTATTGTATTGTTACTGTATTGTCTCATGTACTCTCCCCCCACTTTATTGTACAGCGCTGAGCAAACCTATTGGCGCTATATAAATACTATATATAATATAATAATAACTTACCTTTTCGTGGAGCGGGTCCCGTGTCACCCCGTATAGGTTGCATGCCAACAATCTCTGCAGGATGGATCGGATCTGCAGATTGAACATAATGGATCGGAGTCTGATCCACTGTCCTCCCCAATCCACAGATGCAATCCTGCGGGGATAGACGGCATGCAACCTATAAAAGGTTGACATGGGACCCGCTCCACGAAAAGGTAAGTTGTAAAGAAAGCCGACGATCCCCGCAGGATGGATCGGATCTGCGGATTGGGGAGCATAATGGATCGGACTCCGATCCTGGGCATACCTGGGCTGTGGGTACTGCTTTTCAATGCTACACAGTGGTTTTGCATTACTGCCCCTTCTCCCCATGCCAATCTATGGGTTAGCCAACTCACTGGAAACATTGCACAATGGCTTAAAAAAAATTGCTGCTTCTACAGGAGTTTTGTGTTTTGCCTATAGAAGCAGCTCAGTGTCATCCTAAGTGTCCATGCACAATAGGACGATTAGAGGCATATCTTAAGATCAACCTTTACTGTAGAGGCAGGAAAAAAAACCCTTCTGGTTTGTATTTTTGATTGGAGCTTTCCGGAGCTTTAGGTCAGCATTTTTTTCTGCCATGTGAACTAGCATTTTTTTTTTTAAACCCAGTGTTCATGGAGCCTTACTGTAAGACCCCTTTCATGATAGGTGTTAAGCAGGAAGGCTGAAAGAGACTGAGTCAAATACATATCTCCCTTTCCTGGTTAAACAATATCTACAGCCAAGAAAAAGTTTAAAATATTGCCACTCACCAGCACTTAGATGTGGCAGCTGCATTAGTTTTCCTTTTTTCCAGGCTTTTTTCCCCTTCTATTTACACCCAGTGAACCTGTCAGTAACACACTCCCTGTCCTAGGATGACAAAGCTCACTCATCATACTGTGTCTTTGAGGGAGTAGTGTTGTCTCCCTGCGCGTCTCTCATGAATTGGATTCCAAACACCTCTCCTTCTTCTCTCCATTACATAGTGAAGTGAGGTGAAGTGTTCAGTAGTCCACAGAAGATAGCTCTGAAGGCTGATACCATTGGTAGAAGTTTCAGTTCAGTGCAAAGGAAGTTGCAAGGGCATTGTATTCTGGCAGGATCAACAGGATTTTTATGTCCTTGCTGGTAATGTACTTGGAAAGGAAACTAATTCAGCCACCACATCTAATGACTGGTAACACAATGTTACATTTGGGTTCTTGGAGTTTAGATATTCTCCAGTCTACAAATCTCCATTTGCTATACAGGATAAAATATAAAAAAACAAGTATTTACAAATGTTTAACCCCTTTGTGCCGACATACAGTAGGGAAAATTATTATTTGATCCCCTAAAGATTTTGTAAGTTTGCCCACTTACAAAGAAATGAAGGGTCTATCATTTTTATCAAAGGTGTATTTTAAATGATAGGCACAGAATATCAACCAAAAATTCAGAAAAAAACACGATACAAATGTTATAAATTAAGTTGCAGTTCAGTGAGTAAAATAAGTGTTTGATCCCCTACCAGCCAACAATAATTCTGGCTCCCACAGACTGGCTAAGTGCTCATGAGGTACAAAGATTAATCCTTTCAGTTTAAGAAGGTGCTCCAAAGGACAACTCATTATGTGTATAAAAGACACCTGTCCACAGAATCTCTTTCTTGAGCACCACCATGGGGAAAACCAAAGAGCTGTCAAAGGATGTCAGGCACTAGATTGTAGACCTGCACAAGTCTGAAATGGGCTAAAAGACCATCAGGAAGAAGCTTAGTGAGAAGGAGACAACTGTTGGAGCAGTAATTTGCAAAAGGATGAATTGCAAAATAACCATCAATTGCCCTCAGTCCAGAGCTCCATGCAAGATTTCGCCTCATGGGGTAAGGATGAGCATAAGAATAGTGAAGGATCAGCCCAGAACTACACGGGAGGAGCTTGTGAATGATCTCAAGGCAGTTGGAACCACAGTCACCAAAAAACCATTGGTAATACAATACGCCGCCATGGATTAAAATCCTGCAGCGTCTGCTAGGTCCCCCTCCTCAAGAAGGCATATGCACAGGCCCGTCTGAAGTTTGTCAATGAACATCTAAAATGCATCAGAGAAGGATTGGGAGAAAGTGCTGCGGTCAGATGAGACAAAAATTAAGTTCTTTGGCAGTAACCCGACTTTAGCCGTATTTAGAGGGAAAAAAAATGCTATGACCCCAAGAACACCATCCCTACAGTCAAGCATGGAGGTGGAAACATTATGCTTTGGGGCTGTTTTTCTGCTAAAAATACAGGCCAACATTGCTGCATTGAGGGACCAATGGACGGGGCCATGTATTGTAAAATCTTGGATGAGAACCTTCTTCCCTCAGCCAAAACACTAAAGATGAGTCGTGGATGGGTCTTCCAGCATGACAATAACCCAAAACATACTACCAAGGCAACGAAGGGGTGGCTCAAGAAGAAGCACATTAAGGTCATGGGTTAGCCCATCCAGTCTCCCGACCTTAATTGGAATTTTTAGAGGGAGCTGAAACTTCGAATTTCCAAGTGACAGCCAAGAAACCTTAAGGATTTTAGAGAAGATCTGTAAAGAAGAGTGGACCAAAATCCCTCCTGAAATGTGTGCAAACCTGGTAACCAACTACAAGAAACATCTTACCTCTGTGCTTGCCAGCAAGGGTTTCTCCACCAAGTACTAAGTCATGTATTGTTTGGGGATCAATTACTTTTACTCACTGAACTGCAATTTAATTTATAGCATCTGTATCATATGTTTTTTCTAGATTTTCGGTTGCTATGCTGTCTCTATCATATAAAATACACCTATGATAAAAATTAAAGAACCTTCATTTCTTTGAAAGTGGGTAAACTTAGAAAATCTGCAGAGGATCAAATAATTATTTTTCCACACTGTATATGCAGACCCACTGGACTGGGCTTTTTTTTCCGTGGGGCCACATATATGCGCATCTCTCTTTGTGCTGGTACCCCGGTACTAACGATCAAGATAGCCGCTGTGATAGCCACTGATTGTCTATCACAGTGACCTGTCACTGTGAAGCCCGCCCATGTGTTCCTCTCTCTGTCAATGGAGAGGAAAGATACATTATAAAAAAAGAAAATGTAAATAAAATGGTGTTCCAATCACCTCCATGGTCACAGGTCTATAAAATAAAAGCACCTAGGCATGTAGACTGCTACTACAAACATTTGTGAAAGAATGGGTCGCTCTCAGGAGCTCAGTGAATTCAAGCGTGGTACCGTGTTAGATTGCCATCTGTGCAATAAGTCCATCCATGAAATGTCCTTGTTACTAAATATTCCATGGTCAACTGTTAGTGGTAATATAACAAAGTGGAAGCAACTGAGAAGAACAGCAACTCAGCCACGAAGTGGTAGGCCACGTAAAATGACAGAGCGGGGCCAGCGCATGCTGAAGCACACAGTGTGCAGAAGTCGTCAACTGTCTGCAGAGTCAGTAGCTAAAGACCTCCAAACTTCATGTGGCCTTCAGATTAGCACAACAGTGCGTACAGAGCTTCATGGCATGGGTTTCCATGGCCCCAAAACATTTTTTAAATTAGTATCAGTTAGTGTGTTTTAAGTACCGTATTTGCCGGCGTATAAGACGACCCCCTACTTTTCCTGTTAAAATATAGGGTTTGGGCTATACTCGCCGTATAAGACTACCCCTCTTCCAACGCACACCAAAAATTAAAAAACATCAGATTTGATTTCAATATGGTATGGTATTCCAATGATGGGGCACGCTTCCTCGCTCTGACACCAATGATGGGGCACTATTCCTCCCACTGACACCAATGATGGGGCACTATTCCTCCCATTGACACCAATGATGGTGCCCCATCATTAGTGTCAGTGTGTGAGGAATAGTGTCCCATCATTAGTGTCAGTCGGAGGAATAGTGCCCCATCATTGGTGTCAGTGGGAGGAATAGTGCCCCACCATTGGTGTCAGTGGGAGGAATAGTGCCCCACCATTGGTGTCAGTGGGAGGAATAGTTCCCCATCATTGGTGTCAGAGCAACGAATCGTGCCCCATCATTGGTGTCAGTGGGAGGAATAGCGCCCCATCATTGGTGTCAGTGGGAAAAATCGTGCCCCATCATTGGTGTAAGTGGGAGGAATAGCGCCCCATCATTGGTGTCAGTGGGAGGAATAGCGCCCCATCATTGGTGTCAGTGGGAGGAATAGCGCCCCATCATTGGTGTCAGTGGGAGGAATAGCGCCCCATCATTGGTGTCAGTGGGAGGAAAAGCGCCCCATCATTGGTGTCAGTGGGAGGAAAAGCGCCCCATCATTGGTGTCAGTGGGAGGAATAGCGCCCCCATCATTAGTGTCAGTGGAAGGAATATCGCCCCATCATTGGTGTCAGTGGGAGGAATAGCGCCCCATCATTGGTGTCAGTGGGAGTAATAGCGCCCCATCATTGGTGTCAGTGGGAGTAATAGCGCCCCATCATTGGTGTCAGTGGGAGGAATAGCGTCCCAACATTGGTGTCAGTGGGAGGAATAGTACTCCGTCAGTGGGGAAAGGAATAGTGCCCCATCGTTGGTGTCAGTGGGGGGAGGAATAGTGCCCCATCGTTGGTGTCAGTGGGGGGAGGAATAGTGCCCCATCGTTGGTGTCAGTGGGGGGAGGAATAGTGCCCCATCGTTGGGGTCAGTGGGGGGAGGAATAGTGCCCCATCGTTGGGGTCAGTGGGGGGAGGAATAGTGCCCCATCGTTGGGGTCAGTGGGGGGAGGAATAGCGCCCCATCATTGGTGTCAGTGGGAGGAATAGCGTCCCAACATTGGTGTCAGTGGGAGGAATAGTACTCCGTCAGTGGGGAAAGGAATAGTGCCCCATCGTTGGTGTCAGTGGGGGGAGGAATAGTGCCCCATCGTTGGGGTCAGTGGGGGGAGGAATAGTGCCCCATCGTTGGGGTCAGTGGGGGGAGGAATAGTGCCCCATCGTTGGTGTCAGTGGGGGGAGGAATAGTGCCCCATCGTTGGGGTCAGTGGGGGGAGGAATAGTGCCCCATCGTTGGGGTCAGTGGGGGGAGGAATAGTGCCCCATCGTTGGGGTCAGTGGGGGGGAGGAATAGTGCCCCATCGTTGGGGTCAGTGGGGGGAGGAATAGTGCCCCATCGTTGGGGTCAGTGGGGGGAGGAATAGCGCCCCATCATTGGTGTCAGTGGGAGGAATAGCGTCCCAACATTGGTGTCAGTGGGAGGAATAGTACTCCGTCAGTGGGGAAAGGAATAGTGCCCCATCGTTGGTGTCAGTGGGGGGAGGAATAGTGCCCCATCGTTGGGGTCAGTGGGGGGAGGAATAGTGCCCCATCGTTGGGGTCAGTGGGGGGGAGGAATAGTGCCCCATCGTTGGGGTCAGTGGGGGGAGGAATAGTGCCCCATCGTTGGGGTCAGTGGGGGGAGGAATAGTGCCCCATCGTTGGGGTCAGTGGGGGGAGGAATAGTGCCCCATCGTTGGGGTCAGTGGGGGGAGGAATAGTGCCCCATCGTTGGGGTCAGTGGGGGGAGGAATAGTGCCCCATCGTTGGGGTCAGTGGGGGGAGGAATAGTGCCCCATCGTTGGGGTCAGTGGGGGGAGGAATAGTGCCCCATCGTTGGGGTCAGTGGGGGGAGGAATAGTGCCCCATCGTTGGGGTCAGTGGGGGGAGGAATAGTGCCCCATCGTTGGTGTCAGTGGGGGGAGGAATAGTGCCCCATCGTTGGTGTCAGTGGGGGGAGGAATAGTGCCCCATCGTTGGTGTCAGTGGGGGGAGGAATAGTGCCCCATCGTTGGTGTCAGTGGGGGGAGGAATAGTGCCCCATCGTTGGTGTCAGTGGGGGGAGGAATAGTGCCCCATCGTTGGTGTCAGTGGGGGGGGGAATAGTGCCCCATCGTTGGTGTCAGTGGGGGGAGGAATAGTGCCCCATCGTTGGTGTCAGTGGGGGGAGGAATAGCGCCCCATCATTGGTGTCAGTGGGAGGAATAGCGCCCCATCATTGGTGTCAGTGGGAGGAATAGCGCCCCATCATTGGTGTCAGTGGGAGGAATAGCGCCCCATCATTGGTGTCAGTGGGAGGAATAGCGCCCCCATCATTAGTGTCAGTGGAAGGAATAGCGCCCCATCATTGGCGTCAGTGGGAGGAATAGTGCCCCATCATTGGTGTCAGTGGGAGGAATAGTGCCCCATCATTGGTGTCAGTGGGAGGAATAGTGTCCCAACATTGGTGTCAGTGGGAGGAATAGTACTCCGTCAGTGGGGAGAGGAATAGTGCCCCATCGTTGGTGTGTGCCCCATCGTTGGTGTCAGTGGGGGGAGGAATAGTGCCCCATCGTTGGTGTCAGTGGGGGGAGGAATAGTGCCCCATCGTTGGTGTCAGTGGGGGGAGGAATAGTGCCCCATCGTTGGTGTCAGTGGGGGGAGGAATAGTGCCCCATCGTTGGTGTCAGTGGGGGGAGGAATAGTGCCCCATCGTTGGTGTCAGTGGGGGGAGGAATAGTGCCCTATCATTGGTGTCAGTGGGAGGAATAGTGCCCCATCATTGGTGTCAGTGGGAGGAATAATGCCCCATCATTAGTATCAGTGACACCAATGATGGGGCACTATTCCTCCCACTGACACCAATGATACTTGCTGACTCCTGTTCTAGTATGGTACTGCTGCAGCCAGCATATGTGGTTGCAGCAGCACCTCTGCACTGCACACTTACCCTCACTCGATTTTCGCGGGTCCGCTCGGCTCTGCTTCCTCGCCCGTGATTGGCCGCCTGTGTGCCTTTCCTGAGCTACAGTTCTGGCGGCCAATCACCAGTGAGGAGGCGGAGCCGAGCGGCAGGAGTGAGGGAGTGGCCGGAGTGACTGAAGGAGCAGCGCTTCCTGGATGGATCGTCGTGGGAGCCAGGTAAGAGACTGCAGCCTTCTACCGCGCCGCCCCCCCTAAAAAGTGCCCCCAGACGTGTAACGGCATATAAGAAGACCCCCGACTTTTGAGAAGATTTTCAGGGGTCAAAAAGTCATCTTGTACGCCGGAAAATACGGTAGGCTAAAAAAAGAAAAAAAAATGGGCTGTACTATGGGCACATATGTAGTATTGTTGTCAGGAGCAGAAACATTTGTTTTAGGTTGTTCTTTGGTGGTAGGCTATGGTAGTAACAAGAAATATACAGTTCATTTTTTTAAAGATGTACCGTTTTGTAAGGATGCATCAAAATTTCGGTGGCCGAAACGTTTCAACCAAAAACACCCCTTTTGGCCGTAGGCCGATATGAAAAAAAAAAAAAAAAAGCACTGATACAGGTGCCAAAAAAAAAACCCCGCCCCTCGCCCGCCGCTGCCACCACCGGCCACCGCTCAGTCGTTCTCAGCCTAACCTGGGAAACTTTCGAATGATCCCGGTGCTGGGCATAGAGATTAGTGAAGGAAAGATGGCCTCTACTCTTCTCTATGCCCTTGTCACTTCCGGTTTCGGCCATTTTTTTTGATGAACTAGATCAATGCTTTTTTGATCTAATGCTTTACATTGCAGAGGAGAGATGTGGGGTCTTATTGACCCCATATCTCTCAATAAGGAGGATCTGACACTAATTATTTCTATCACAAGGGATGCATGTATTCCTTGTGATAAGAATAAAAGTCATTAAAATTTTTGTTTTAAAGGGACAGTGCAAAAAACAAAACAAAAACGCATTAAATAAATTAAAAAATAAAGTTTAAAGTGCCTCCGTCCCCCCGTGCACACACATAGTGGTGAACGCATACGTAGGCAATGCCCACATATGTACACAGTGTTCAAACCACACACGTGAGGTATCGCCACGAACGTCAGAGCAAGAGCAATAATTCTCGCACTAGAACTCCTCTGTAACTTTACACTACTAACCTGTAGAAATGTTTAAAGCACCACCCATGGAGAATTTTGAGTGCCACAGTTTCACTCCATTCCACGAGCGTGCGTAATTTTAATGCATGACATGTTGGGTATCTATTTACTCGCCGTAAAATCCGCTTTCAAATTTTACAAAAAAAAATGGGTTATATATTGTGGGTTTTTTTTTAATCAAAGTGTATTTTTTTCAAAAAAAAATCTATATTAATTTTTTTAAAACTGCGTATTTCGGTTTTGGTTTTCAGCCAAGTGCATTTTAAATTTTCGTTTTCGGCACCAGAAATTTAATTTCGGTGCACCACTACTATTTTGTGCCAGTTTTCCTTTGATAATAATAAAAAAACAACAGGAAATATCCATTACCATTTACCACCAAATGAAAGCCCAATTTGTTCTGAAAAAGACAAGATAGAGTAGTTGTAATGATACGTATGGTTTTACTAACACATGTCAATTGCTGCAAAATTGTGCTTAAGCATTATTATTTGTTTTACCCTTCAAGTTATGTCACGAATATTTTACAAAACACTGTAATCACTCAAAATATCTGCTCATTATGAATACAATACACTTTTAGATTTCAAAAAAGGTTATTGTCCTGCCTTCTCTGCAGTTATGAAAGGGTTACAGAGGATTACAGGCAGTATAACCTTTGATGTCCACACAGTAAAGAGTCGACGATTGATAACCGATGATCTTTTACTGATAACATGTGACATAATGAGAATGAATGCGTGAATAAATGTGGTAAAACTGAAATACAAACAGAATAAACAAACATGAGTACATATCTAACTTCCTAGCTATGTGCATAACATTCCACAGTACATAGGAAGGGTACTTACAGACTTTGGGGGTCTAATCAAGCCCATATATGAAGAGGGAACAGCATCCCACATGTACTTGCATTGTAGAATTTCTTCAGTCTGAAGAGATGAGGTCACTTCCTCCCAAGTTAGCAGACAGGAAGTCCCAGGCCTTAAGGGGACAGACACTGCTGAATGCTAAAGAATGCCTTGTGTAATACAAGGCAGCACACTCCCCACCTGGCATAATAATGATATGCCACTATTAAACTCTTGGAAGGAGTAAAACGACTTCCGTGATGGGTCTAAGGTACACCTTAGGGGTGCCCTGTTTTACTACTCTGACCTCTACTTTCCTGACTCTGCTATCACTACTAGCATCAGTCCCCACAATGAGTCCAATTGGCCACTCGTTCCTGTGGGCCTGAGAGTCTTTTAGTAGAACAACATCTCCAACTTGTAAGTTGGGCTTGTCGGCTTGCCATTTGTTGCGTGGTTGGAGGGTCGTCAGGTACTCCTGTCTCCATCTCTTCCAGAAGATATCACATCTGATAATGGTGACATTGGCTCGCTCAAGAGAGTCATTGTTACCCTGGTCAACACTGGCTGTTTTGCTGAAGGATCTGGCCAAGCAGATGAGTTTCCCTATGGCACGGATGAGTGACTTCCAGCTGGAAAACCTTTCGAACCTACATGAGCCAAGACCTTCTCTGGTGGTTAGAGTCTTGTAAACTACAACTAGAGGTCTTACCTCTTTGTCTTGGTCTGGTTCTACAAGCTGAAAAGTTCCTTTCTGATCAGTCTCTTCAGTTTCTGGTCCAGTCAAGAAGGATGGACCTGTGAACCAGTTAGTCTGTTTGAGGACAGCAGCTGGTACCAGTCTAGTCCCATGATCAGCAGGGTTCTTGTCTGTACTGATGTGATGCCACTGTTCTGGACTTGTACACCTTCTGATACGTGTTACTCTGTTTGACACGTATGTGTAGAATCTTCTTGAAGCGTTGTGGATATAACCTAAAACAATCTTGCTGTCTGTGTAGAAGTTCACTGCATGGATTTCGATGTCCAGTTCTGCAATGAGTAAGTCTGCTATCTCCACAGCTAGGACAGCAGCACAAAGTTCTAAGCGTGGGACCGTGTGAGCAGGTCTTGGAGCCAGTTTGGACTTTCCCAAGATGAATCCTGCATGGCTTTGTCCCTGAGTGTCTATGACTCTAAGGTAGGCTACAGCTGCTATAGCCACGGTGGATGCATCTGAAAACACGTGTATCTCTCTTCGTTTTGTAACAGACAAAGAAACAGAGACGTATGGTCTTTGGATGCTAAATCGCTCAAGCTCCAGCAAGAGTCTTTCCACAACTTCCACTGCATTTCTTTCTTTTCAGGTAGAGGTGTGTCCCAATCACTTTGTTCTAGCTCAGTTGTTGTAATCTCCCTCAAAAGAGCTTTGCCTTGCATGGTGATGGGTGCTACGAACCCCAAGGGATCGTAAAGACTGTTGACCGTAGACAAGACACCTCGCTTTGTGAAAGGCTTCTCTTCCCTGGATACTCGGAAGGTGAAGCTGTCAGTTTTTCAAGTCCCAACTAAGCCCTAAGCTTCTTTGAAGGGGTGGTGAATCTGTACCTAGATCTAGGTCTTTGAGGTCTTTTGCACGGTCTTCTGCTGGGAATGCTTCCATTACTTTGCTGTTGTTGGAAGCCACTTTGTGCAGTCTTATGTTAGAGTCTGCTAGCAAGTCTCTAGTGCTTTTCAAAATGTTAATGGCTTCTCCACTACTGGAGAAGGAAGCAAGTCCATCATCTACATAAAAGTTTTTCATAACAAATTGTTTGGCTTCAGGGTTGTGTCTGTCACCTTGCTGCGCTGCTCGTCTCAAGTTGTAGATAGCGACAGCTGGTGAGGGACTGTTCCCAAACACATGTACTTTCATCCTATACTCTATGATACCTTTGTTGAGGTCGTTGTCTTCATACCATAGGAACCTCAGGTAGTCTCTGTGGTCTTCACGGACAAGGAAGCAGTAGAACATCTGCTGTACATCTGCTGTTACTGCAACAAGTTCTCTTCGGAATCTGATAAGGACTCCAAGAAGTGTGTTGTTCAGGTCTGGTCCGCTGAGAAGTACATCATTAAGGGAAATACCTTCATGCTTTGCACTGGAATCAAATACTACACGTATCTGACCTGGTTTTTGAGGATGGTACACTCCGAATATTGGCAAGTACCAGCGTTCTTGTTTTTCATGCAGTGCTGGTGCTTTTTCAGCTTGATCTTTGTCAAAGATTTTTCCGCATGAATTCTTGGAAGTGTCCTTTCATGTCTGGCTTTCTTTCCAGAGTGCGCTGCAATAGCGCAAGGCGTTTCTCTGCTTGCACTCTGTTGTTGGGAAGACGATGCCGTGGTGTACGGAATGGTAGTGGGGCTACCCAACTGCCTGCTTTGTCTTTGAAGACTTCTCTGTCCATGATCTCAAGGAAGAGGTTATCTTCAACAGATGGTGCTAGTTTGTCATCATCTTGAGTTCTCTCAAACACTTTGTGGCCTAGCTGATCTGAATCTTCAGCTGAGGCTGTATCTTCCAGGAACCTCTGGATGTTCTGGGGATGTGTTGGGTTAGATAGTTTCTCTTTAATCTGCATGCTGTTGTTACATGGGCAAAGACATGACGTGCGACCGTTCTGCAGCAGATTTGTTCTGTAGACATTCACCTTCGCGGGTTTGTGAAGTCCGTCCAGACATACATTTCCAACGATAACCCATCCAAGATCAAGACGTTGAGCAAATGGTGCATTGTGCGGCCCATTGTATTGTTCTCTGACCTTGTGCACTCTCAGTATGTCTCTTCCTAGTAGAAGGACGATTGCAGCATCTGGGTTGAGTGTTGGGATCTTGTCTGCTATTCGCATGAGATGAGGGTAGTGACGTGCCACTTCA